GAAGAAGGGCGAGCCGTGGGTGGATACCCGTGTCTGTTACCACTGCAGAGAGACGGGGCACATCAAGACGAGGTGTCCTAAGTTGCAGCAGATGGCGGTAGCAGCGGTGCAGCCGGTGATGCAGCCAGGGGTGCAGCAGTGGGTGCAGCCAGGATTGCAGTTGGCAGGGCAGTCGTTGGCTCAGCTGGGAGCACCGCCGGTGGCACAGATCGAGGGATCGAGGGGGTATACGACCGTGGAGACAGGAGAGCCAAGCACTGGACGGCCGATCACAGGTTTAACTCTAAGACTCATTCTGTTTCCTTCCGTTGTTTTAGAATTTGTGTTGTTTCCTGTGATTTTTGGGGTGGGCGGTCTTAGTGAAAAGGGTTTGTGTAGGGACCCTGTTGGTGGGCGGGTTCCTGTCCCACGTGATGTTTGATTCTGGAGCTACGAATAGCTTCATTAGCCCAGAGTGCGCGACGGGTGGTAACATCCGAGGAGATCCCGATGGTTGTTATGGAGCCGTTAGAGTCGCAGGAGGCGCTTTGCTAGCGGTTCAGGGACGGGCTAGTGGTGTGGATGTACAGATTGCGGGAGATTCGATGCCGGCAGATCTGTACATTAGTCCGGTGGAGTTGTATGATGTAATTCTGGGCATGGATTGGTTGGAGCGGCACAGAGTTCATCTGGATTGTCACCGGGGGAGAGTATACTTCGAGCGTCCCGGACCGAAGAGGTATTTCCAGGGTGTGAGACCGATTTCGGGGAGTTTAGTGATTTCGGCAATTCAGGCGGATAGGATGATCCGAAAGGGGCGGGAAGCTTATTTGGCTACGATTGTCATGCCAGAGACGGTCGATGAGGTAGCAGTGGATAAGATCCGGGTGCTCCAAGAGTTCGAGGATGTGTTTCAGTCGTTGAAGGGGTTACCACCATCTCGGTCTGATCCCTTCACGATTGAGTTGGAGCCCGGGACAACGCCGTTGTCTAAGGCTCCGTACTGGATTGCTCCAGCGGAGATGGCGGAGCTGAAGAAGCAGTTGGAGGATCTGCTGGGTAAGGGTTTCATCCGTCCTAGTGTTTCACCGTGGGGTGCACCGGTGTTGTTCGTTAAGAAGAAGGATGGGAGTTTCCGGCTGTGTATCGATTACCGGGGACTTAACCAAGTCACGGTGAAGAACAAGTATCCTTTGCCGCGGATTGATGAGTTGTTGGACCAGTTGAGGGGAGCTACGTGGTTCTCTAAGATCGATTTGGCGTTGGGTTACCATCAGATTCCTATCGACGAGGCGGATATCCGTAAAACGGCGTTCAAGACGAGGTA